GGGAGAGCACCTGTTTAGAAAGTGTGAGGCCCTGAGTTCAAACTCCATTACTGCCAAAAAAAAAAAAAATTACTATGATTGCAAGGTCAGTGCACTTCCTGGTTTTACCAGAAGCCATCTAAGCATCTCTAAGCAGTTGCCACAGGGAACTGACTTCATGGTTGGCAATGCTTTGCTTTAGTAAGACTCATTTTTTCTGCTCTGCTCAGTCTCACAGCTGTTTCTCCTGCCATTAAGGCCTTAATTATCCTGTCTCTGTTCTCATCAGCCTAAATTAGGCTGTTTAACCTATCCCCAGGTTTACAGCAAGAAAAAATAATTTCCAAGAAAAGTTCTTTTGAGAAAACTGTCCATCTGGGCACCACTGATCCCTTTCCATATGGTCAGTTTCGAAGACTTTTTTTCCTTCTTATCTAATGACTGAAGAAAAAATGGCCATGCTAGTGACAACTGTCTTGCTTTCCAGTTGTTGCTATTGTAGATAAAATACTTGAGCTCCTCAGGGCTTAAAAATGGGTTTTAAAATTCTTTACCTCAGGCTGGTGAGTAGCTCAAGTGGTAGAACACTTACCTAGCAAGTGTGAGGCCCTCAGTTCAAATCCCAGTCCTCCCCCCCNAAAAAAAATCCTACCTCTTGCCACTGTCCAGCTTGCTACTTTCCCTCTGCTTTGCTTTCGTCCCTGACACTGGTCCAAGGTATCAGAGGATCTGATACTCCCTGCCTCCATAACTGCCTCTAATTGCCACTGCAATTGGTGACAAAATTCTATCTCAATATTCTCTTCCTTCTCTCACTTTCCCTTTTTTTTCTAGCTTAGGTCTCTTGTCACATTTCCTTCTTCTCAGCATTCATTCTGGAAGGCTGGCCTCTTAGTCAACACTCCCAGCCAATCAAACAGTTCCTGCTCCTTCCTGGAGACAGCCTGTTTAATCACTGTGAATGAGATAAGAATCTTTGGTTCTTTGACTCTTCTTGGCAGCTTGTTTGTTGCTGAGTGCCCAGGGTTTGAGGTTTCTGAAGGCCAAATGTGATCACCAACCCCCTTGTACTGTAGTAAAACTAGACTGTGCATTTGGTGGACTGTGTACGGCAGGGACAAGGTCAGTAACTTGAGTATGGGCTTAGAAAAGCAGAGAGCTCATGACTCCAGGGCAGAGTCTTAGATGAAAACCTGTACTTAATATCTGGGTGGAGACTATGTGAACCAAGATGAAAAATCCAGTCCTTCAGAAGCTAGGTGCTAGATACTTTCAAACAGTAGCAAACAGTTCTTGGTAGACCCTCAAAAGAACACTTCTCTCACTTTGCACATAGAAAGGAGTTTCTGAGGGTAGAGGGCTTGTGGGGACCACAAAGTTTTACTGGGAGGTGTGAATGACTCATTTTTATAAATGAGTCCTTTAGGTTTTTCCTTAGGAATGCAGGAAGTCATCTCCTCTGGGAGGCCACACTGGGGTTATTTGTACATTGGCATTTCAATTGTTTTCATTTAAATACTGATTCTTTACAAGTCTTAAAAAGTTGAAGTTTTTAGAAATCATTGGCTCTTAACATAAAAATGAAATGACAACTACCAGAATACCCTCCTGTACTGAGATGTTAATTTCTGAAGACAAATTCTTGAAGTTCACTTAGGTGTTTTTATTGATTATGTATGTCTAAATGTAAAATGAAAGCTGAACATTTTTTATTCAACCCTGTGCTGGCTCAAACAGACAGAAACTTATCACGGGCCCTGCCCTTAAAGAACTAAGTCTCTATGGACAAAGTTCACCAAGTACTGTTAACAATTTAAAGCCAGATATGTGATATAACTTATAAACATAAACATTGGTTAAATAATTGAGCCTAAATCATGCAATTCTTAAAAAATAAGCAAATTGGATAGTCACTGTTAATAGTACATAAATATCATCACTCTTAATATATTCACTTTGAAGAGGTAATTTGAGAAAATTTTGGAAAACAATGCTGTGTATAAATTCAACCCAATGTATAAATTGTACTAAGAACTGGACAGATAGGGTTGAATAGGATTAAGCTTGGCTTTCAAAGTAAATTCTGCAAAGAACAAAGGAAATGACTTTCATACTATGAGAAGTCAATTCCAATGTCGTTAAGATGTCTTCACTATCTCAGCTCATTTGAAGTGGTTGTGGCACTACCACATCAATTTTAACAAGACTCTTAAGACCTGAAGGTCATCAATGAGTACAATTGTTTTTATTATTTACGAAAAAGGTATAATTAAGTATGCTAACCACAGACTACGAATACTAGATACTTGGACCCTCTTACTATACCCAAGGACAAAACTAACCACCACCCAAATTCAGGCACGTGTTTGGCTGCTGAATAGGGAAACTCATTCATAAAAGCAGAAATAGAAATATCAAGCCAGTCACCTAATCTCTGCCTTGATTAACAACCAGCATTTTATCCATCTTTCTTCATCCCTAATAGCAACAATTGGTGCAGTGATAAGCCAAGATGATTAAAACCAAGCTATAATCTGCCTTTTTTCTCAGTCATTAGCACAATTAATGAGTGTAATGAATTCAAAATTCTCAGTGGGAGAAGTAGAGAGTCAATAGTAAAGGACTATTTCCTAATTCAAATTTTCATGAAAAATTTCCATCACTCATTTTTAGGACATTAAGACAGACAGTCCTACTGTTGCAAAGTGAAACTACACCTTAACCAAATAGTATTCCTGAGAGTTGTTGATCTAAAAAATCAGTTTAAAGGTTATCCATGTCCAGAGAATGGATTGTGATATATGCGAACAATGGATGCAACATAAAAGAATCTCAAAAATTGAGACACAGAAGTATTTATGATCTCATTTATATGAATTTCTAGAACAAGTAACACTAATCTATGGTTATAGAAGTCAGAACGATTTTTATTGGGTGGGGAGTTAACTGGAAAGGGGCATGAGGAAATTTTCTCTATCTTTGTAAGATGGTGGTTACCAAATCTCACATTATAAATGTAAAACCTTTGCATTTTGTTGAATGTAAATTATACATCAACAAAAAAATACTATTTACTTCCTGGATCCTATAGTTAAATATAACCTACCACTAGAAAGAATCCAGCAAATTTTTACTATTATTAAGAATCAACACACACCATTCAGAAAGCAGATATAAAGCTTTAATTCACTGTTGGCATTTCTGACCATTTTTTATGTTAGATATAAATTGTTTCATGTCTATATAAGCACATCTTTTATAAGACCATGTTCTTACTAAGTACTGTGTACCATACCAACATCCCTTTTAACTAGTTAATGGCATATTATATATATTATGAACCACTGAATACAAGTACAGAAACAGAATACATGTTAGAAAGTTTAAATAAAACAAATTTAAGAAAGGCTAAATACCATTAAAGTTTACACATATTACTGACTTTAATTCTAGACATGTCATGGTGATGACCAATTACAATAAAATCACAAGTGCTTTTAGATGACAGTACATTCAGATTTCTCACATCCAATTATTTTTGTTTCCACAATGTCAACTTCATGCTACATTTTTATTTCTATACAAAGTGGATCAGCTTTAAGACTGCATAAAAAAATTTCTTGGGTAATAAGAATTACTATTCTTGATCATGACCATGGGAAAACAAATTTATATTCCGTGTTATATAAAGACAAGATATTATTCAGTATATAATATGGAGCTCTCTTCAGTGGTGGTATTCAAGAACAAATTATTCAGGAGCTAAAAATGGGTTATGCTACCACAGTCTACATTATTTCATATGAAGATGAAATCTCTGTCAAAACATATAGTAATAAATATATAGTACAGCCTTTCTCCCTCCAAAATATTGTCAAGGAAAAAGGTCTGACATGACTTAAAAAACAAAACCAGAAAACAAAACTATGCTGTTCTGAGCTGCAATCTTCCTGAGTCTATTTTCATTTGGAACAAATTTTGCAGCCAATACTATATTGATTTAGTAGTCACAGTCCAGAGAGTCCTTGGACATTTAGTTCATATCCTATAGGAAACTCTGAAAGGACTCCTATACATCCAACTAATTATACAACAGAAAGCTGGTCGTGTTTTGTATTAAAAGCTATGTGATTTTCAAACATAGTCATAGCCTTTTTTAAAGAGTAAGTGAGGAAAATATATGCACAGCTGTACACAGATCACCATTTAACACAGGAAGAAAATGTCATTTGATTTGATGCATATCAAATAAGCACCCCAAAAGCCAATTTGAATATATTAATTTTCATCTGCTTTGATACAGTATTAGAAGGGACTGCATGTAATTATGGAGACTGCTGCAAACAACACTTGATGCTACTAAGTGTTCTACTGTATCAGGCATGCAAAATAGTTACCTTTCATTTTTTCCCATGTATGTATTTTAACACATATATATTAAGCTACAGTATGTTGAAAGTCTTCAGTAATTTTAACTCAAATTATTTTAATTGACCTATATTTAAGTGGAAAAAACCAAAAAGTCCCCCATCTCAATATTAAATGGTAATATTAAACCTTACTACCAAAATTGATATTTAAGCTTATTTTACATATGTCACCCTTAAAATCTCAAAATTCACAAAAATTCTTATCACTACTAAATAAGTATGATTTCCTGGCAGCAGTCTACCCACCACACACTTACAGCATGCCAAACTTTTGAGGATTACATAACAGTGACGTGCTGGTGGCTAGAGATGACAATAATTAAACATATCAGTCTCTTCTTTTTATTCTGGGTATTTTTATTTCAACCCAAATAAAGCTTTTCATTAATACAAACTAAAAATGTTTCCCTTTATTTAACATCAATAGAAGAGCAGATAAAACTAATAACCTTTACTGCCTTCCAGTGTGTGGCAAAACAAAAAAATCTAGTACAGTAAGGAAATCAAGAGTGAGAAAGGGAGTACAGTTTCTCCATTTCAGAAACATTCTTGTCACAGAGTCACATAATCACAAAAACTTACAAATCCAGGTTGCTTAGTTTGTGGTCATTTATGGCTTAAAGTACTGGATTTGAAAACCACTTCAGGCTAAAATTTATGTGAATAATGCATAGACTGTGTATCTAAAAATCATGCAATAAATAAATGTTCTCATACACTAGGATTTTAGTGAAGAAAGGGGTCTACAAGTATGAACAGTATTGTTTCCTGTCTTTCACCAACAGAATACACTCAGCAAGACCCTTGCTTTTGACTTATTCAAGATCTTGTATGTCAGATAATCCTGACATTCTCAGGTTGGTAAAAGAAGTCAGCGTCTCACGACACTTGCAATAAGGAACTGAACTGCCTCAAGTGCAGGTGCTGTAAGGTTCTATTAGGCAGAACAGACACTCATAATCCTGCTGCCTGCTGCCAAGTCAATTTGGTATATTTGACCACCTATAGTATCAAATGGGGAAATGTTTAGAATGACCTACTGGAAATGTTTATTATATTAGTACCTTTTAAAAAGTCTATCTGCCCTTTAAATTTGAAAATTGCCAGTGTAAGATCTACTCACTACTCCTGGTTTTGATATGCCCCCACAACATGAGAATTGAACTGAACTACAATGATTGTTATATCATCTCTGTACATACGAGCAAGCTCTTCAGGAAGACTAAGCATTTTGGAGAGGCGCTCATGATCAACAGTCCCAAACTCATTGTTGCCCACAGCGTGGCGAATGAGATGGGTTGCTGCATTCTGATCTTCAAATACGGAGGACATCTTGGCTCTCCTTTCTGTTAAAAGGCCATGCATCTGTCCCAGAGTCACCTTGTAGCCACCAACAGCTATTGGCTGTTGGTGATGCATACCAGTTAAGTACTCACCCACAATCCTAACCACATCCTGCCTATGCATAGTCTCCCACAACCCATCTGTAGCCAACACTAGAAATTTATCCTGTGGTCTTAATCGGTGATAAGTTACCTCTGGCTCTGCTGTGAGATAAGGAGGTGTGTAATAATTAGGAGGGATAAACTTGGTATATTCATTGTCATTCAACTGGTCTGGGCCAGATTCTATCACTCTCTTTTGAAGGTCAATGCTCCATTTGAACTTTACATCTCCAAAAGCCCTGAAAGGCATCAGCAAGCCAAGCAGGCGATCCTGTTTCACCACACTCTTGGCTTCATTCTTTGGGTGTTCCAATTTCAGTCGTTCTAGTTCTCTTTCATTCTGAGCATTATGGTCATTGGACAGTGTGAGTGCTGACCAAGAACCATCTTCTTCCTGCACACCCAGCATGGCTCTGCTATCTCCAGTATTGGCTACATGAAGGTCAACACCATCCACATGGGCCACACAAGCAGTGGCCCCAGAAAATGCTACCCGAAGCACCAGGTAATTGAGGAAAGAGTTAGGATCACCAACTTGAGCCTCCAAGGAGATGTCATTATCAAGTCTCTTGAAAGCATTAATTAAAGCTTCCTTAACATCAATATCAGTTGACTCTCCAGTATAGAGGTCTATGAGCTCTTGCCAGTAAGTCCTCAAGCTATTGAAGTACAATTTGGATGCCTCTTTACTGAAGTAATCATTGGGGTGCTTGTGCCACTGAAGGATGGGTAGCAGTGCCCGACCACTCTCCACTGCATTTTCAATCTCTAGCAAAGTCTCATGGGGTAATAAAGAGACAGCAATATAATAAAAGAGTCTTTCACTGACTGCCTGGGAACAAGCACAGCCTGCATGACCATCAAAAACCCCCAAAAGCATCCCTCTGGTCTGCAAGCAGGTTGCTGCACTTCTCCGGTCCTCGATGGGTGCATTTGCAGGCAGCTGATTGCTGTCAAATCCTAGGATGGAGCTGACATTTTTGCCATCAAATTCTGGTACTTTGAAACTGTATTCATTAGCTTTAAGGATGCTGTTGACTTGTGGAGGTGTGAGGTAAAATTTCTGTGGTGTGGAAGCGTATCTCCTTCCTTGGGTGTATTGCCACCAGTTCTCCTTTGGCCTACAAAAGGTAGCATATGCTGGATGGGGGGTGTATCTCAGGCGACTCTGAGGAACGTAGGTTGATGAACAGCAGAGATGTTTGTGGTGACAGTAACACGCAGTGCCATAGATTCGGCTCAGTTCACAGTTACGGATGAGAGGAAAAAACAGTTGAGTTGGTGCTGGCATGGCATCAGAGAACAGTGGCAGGCTAGAACTTCTGACCGGGATTCCTAGAGAGCAAATTAAGACAGATGTACACAAAGAAAAGAGTTACACATCAGATTACTTAGCTTTGTTTTACAGAAAATACTTAGTAAATCTACATGCTAAAACTTGGGCTAGGAGGCACCATATACTATTTTTTCAGTTTTATAAGCAATTAAAATTCCTAATCAAGTATAGTTCAGCCTAGACTATACATGAACTTCACTTTTCTCTTCTCTTTGCATTTCTTAGTGCAGTACAAACTGTGCAGAATGTACAATAGATTTGGCTGGGGAAAGCGGACGAGAAGGTTATGTAACATTTTGCCGCAGCAGTCTACCTGGCCAATAACCCTTCTCCCTTTCTATCCTTTTTTTACAAAAGGCCTTGGATTTCCCATTTGCACAGGTACTTCTCCCATTTCTGAAGACCCCATTTCTAGACCTGTGGTTAATTACTGGCATTTAATCACACATGGCTATCACCAATAAAGTGTTAAGATGCATCCTTAACATATGCATATTTACACAGTATTTATAGATTATATACATATACCACTAAATTAATATGATGTCCACTATAACACACACAGAAAAATTTGTACAGAACAGAATAAAAATAAAAATTTCATTATTTCCATCTGTGTCTCAGTGGACGGTCTTGAAAAGCTTACTTCCCTGGACCACTGTGCCAACTTAGCAAGTTAACAGAGGATAGGTCTGTCACCAACTCACCAAAATAACCCTAATACTAACCAGCTCACCTCTCCCAAATTTTAAGTGAGTACACAGGAGCAGATGCTCTCTAAGGTCTCTTCTACGATTTGATTCATGCCTTTAAATTTTTGAAATAAGGCTCTGAAATAAAATGCAGGTTTTATTCATTCATTGCTGAATTTTGCTGTGCCCTTTGTGGTTAAAAAACTTTTATGCATTCTACTAGCTCTAAAACTTTGTTAGTAACATAAGTAATCTCAGTTCTGGAAATTAACTTACTTGCTACTATAGTTTTCTGCTTAGTCATAATAGAAATATTATTTTCATTTACTATAGATCCTAAGTAGAATTCACTCCTAGAAAAATGTTCTTACATTTTTAAAAAAGGTAGATCTTTTTACCCTGGGAAAGCAATAAAGAACAGTGAAATAAGTCTAAGATTACAAAAGTATGGCATTGTAATTATAGATTTTAGAAAAATCATAGGACACTGAAAATAATTTGCTGGTCATTTATCTAAAAAAGACTCTCTTCTCTCTCACCAACTTATTTCCCTGAAATCTTAAAATACTGCATCAAAGAATTAATTTAAATCATAAAGAAAAAGACTTTAGAAATACTTTAATAAAGTGGGCTAGGGCATAGCTCAAGTGGTAAAGCACTTGTCTAGCATGTGCAAGGCTCTGGGCTCAATTCGCAGTAATGCAAAAAAAAAAAAAAACCTACCTTAATAAAGAAACAAAAAAGGAAAATAAAACCACGTCAGCATTAAACTAAATTATTCTTTCTGAAGGGTGAACCCATTAAGAAAAAAATTTTAAATATTATAGAGTATTACCTACATATTAAATAATTCTCCTGTACCGTTTTTTGAAGAGTAACCTGAGAAATGTAAGCGGAAAGTACGGGAACAGAGAAAACTAAACACTTAATAATCACTGATTCTTGTTTGCTTTTGTAATAAGGACTGCATAAGCCAGCTGACAGAACCACTTTTGCAAGTGGTAGAAAGAACCATTATTTTAATGGACTCTCTAAGACAGGATTTGTTTACAAAAATGAAGAAAAGATCAGGCAACAGAAAGTGATGGCTAGCATTTCAGAAATGACAATACACAATTAAATAAGCATTCTGAAACACAGCAATGAAAGAGAGAAATTCCTGAAGAACAAGAATCTGATAGGACTAACCACTTCAAACTGAATACCTGAAAGTCATCCAAAGGTTAAGTGTACATGACTGGGCCAGAAGATGTGCTGAAATGCTGGGCTACATGACATTGGCTTCCAGATGTAAACTGTATTTCTTTTTAAGCTTGCACGCAAGAAAACAAATCAACTCACTTTACGCTGTGTATAGGATTTTTCTATTATTAAAAATACAAAACAGATGCAGTCTTAATGAAAATAAGTTTTTCTCATAATTTTTAGTCTGTATTTGTCCTTACTTTATAATTAAGCTGGAGGTGGGAAGCTGATAAACGCATGTTTGATTACATGACATCTAATCAAGGACTAATAACTCCAGGAAACCTGTGCTTTCCTTTGTTTTGACAATTTTTCTGCTTTGATAGTTGGCTGCAAAATGAATGAAATCTCACAGCAAAAGAGCTCATGATTCACACAGCATGTGCTTTGAATAATATTTAAATTCGAGCCCTTAAATACTCAACTACATTTGTCCCTTCAAAGCAAAAGTAGTGGAGATTAAGAAAAAAAAAA